TTGTACTACAAATTGTTGACAAAACAGAAGTCAAGCCTGTCAAAAGATCTTTTTTTTTATCTTCTTCGGTAGTTTCTGCCATGTACAAAATCCAGCGACCCAAGATTCGAAGTCCCTTATTTATGTCATCATTATGCATCTCTATGCATTTAAAACTTGGTATATTTCCATGACCTTGTCGATCATAAAAATGCCCCCCTTGAGTAACAAAACATTCAGAACATACATATCTAGGTCGATATTCGGTCCCTTTATGATTTGTAGCATTTTCTGATTCTTCTCCAAATACGGGACAAACTTTGAGACAAACATATGGTATTTGTATATTTTTTCCAAAAACGTTTCTCGAATGTTGTACACAAGTTTTACCACGACTAAAAAAATATTTTGATTTGTTGCAAAATAAGCACCGGCGGCAAAAGATCCAGCTTGTATGGATTGATCTTTCCTCTTTGATATGGGGGTGATGGAGTTGATTTTGATCAAAAAGAAAATGCGAGTAACAAACACCTATCGTCGATAAATCATTTTTTTTCTGAGCTTGTTTAAAAATTTCCTCATCTATCTCCCAAGCCCCAATCAGCTGAGCGAGTGGTCTTTGATCTTGCGCATATTTTGAACAACATCTAATGTGACCATCAATCAAGTCCACAAGTGGACAGGGTGATAATTCTTTTCTCTTTTTTTTTGTTTTCTCAACGAGATATTTAATTTCATCGTCTAATTCAGCTATAATTGATTCTTGATCAAGTGTTGATAATACTAAATCGTCTCTATCTATATTAGCATCAATATCATGATTACTTTCTTGCAAAAGGTCTAAATCTACTTCTTCCGCTTTTATTAATTCACGTGCCTTGTCAAAGCTGATATTATCAAAAAAAAAAGGCTTCAACTCTAAATAGAAGTCTAATTTATCTGTAGAAACACTTCCTGCTATAATGCTTTCTGATTCAGCAACTAAGCTCACGCTTTCAGTGTCTTCACTATAGTCTTCCGGAACAAATTCGAAATTATTAAAAAATAAAGTTTGTCCGTCTGCATCCATTTAAAAACAAATTGTCCCACAAATTTTTTCTTTTTAAAAAAAACGAACCTATTGAATTTATTTTTTTTTTTTACAATTGCCAAAGAATGTTCTTTGTTAGTTTCTTAATCGATTGTCTAAGAATGGTTTTTATTGTCACCAAATAATTTTTTTTTTTTACTAATTGTTAACTGTTAAGTATGACTATCGTTACCGTTATTGCTGCTAAGTTTGATGTTAAAATGCCTTTTCATTCGATAACAATAGTGAACTGTTATGCTTTAATAAACTTGATAGAAAAATAGCTTTCACTAACGGTTGAAAAAAAAAATTCAAGATTTAATAAAATTTTCAATATTAATATTAATATCAACATTGTAAAATAACCTCAATATCGGTATGACGGCAATTTTTCAAGGTATTAGTATTATTATAATCGAGATCTCTTAAAATCTATTTCGAAAAAAAAGACAACTTTAATTTAAGATTCTTTAAAAACTAGATGTGCTATAATGCACAAAATCAGACAGTTTGCAAGAGAAAATTGAGAAGTTCCATTGTACTTAGTAAGATATGATAGCATACCTTGTACTATAAGAATGCTAGCATAAGAATGAAAATTGCTTTTGAGACGATTTCTTATATAAATCAAGTGTAAAAATGATCGTCGATCCTCTAATTAATACACTTGCCTGTAAATTAAGGGACAAATTTTTTAAATTTGTCGACAAATTTATTTCTCAGGGGTGTAGTTTGAACCTAAGTTTGAACCGAGTTATACCCCTGAAAAAAAGCAGTTTCGAAAAATTAGATTAATTTGGCTTAAGATTCTTCAAAAACAGTGAAAACAATATATAAAACAATACTTGTTTAAAAAAATATATATAAGGCACTGTTTAACTTTGCAAAATGCAACAGTATATTTTACATTATGAAGATATTAATTTAAGAGCAAAATTTACTTCTTGTTTTCTATAGTCAACTACGTATAAGAAATTGGATGCATAAACTGGTGTCGATCTCTTATTTGATACATTTGTCCATAAATTTGGGGACATATCTGCTGATCGTTACTGAAATTTACGCAAAATTACATGAAATGTAAAATTGTAATTTTTGTAATACAACCCTAATTATGGCACATGTAGGGTTGTGTTACATAAATTACAATTTTACATTACATGTAATTTTACGTAAGTTTCAGAAAATCAAATTTTCATACATTAAAATTACGCAAAATTGCAGTAATTTTACATCACTAGGCACATGCCGTTGCCGTATTAATTTGCCAAATTAATTCTATTTCTTACTATATCGATATAGTCAATTATTTTGTATAACCACTGTAAGTATAAATAAATATACAGCATCAATATAATGCATTAACATTCTTATTTTTATTCTAAATCAAAAACAGGAATGGAAAATAAAGGCTTAACGGAAGAACAATTAGTAAAAGGTATTACTCAGGTCACCAATGCTTTTAATCAACTGGATATTAATAATTGTCAAAAGTCAGCCGATATAAATGATCCAGATGGTATATTCTGGCTTGGTTATTGTTACGAACATGGAATTGGAGTGGAAAAGGATGAAAAAAAGGCGTTCATTAATTATCA